TTTGGATTTGGGTTTGTGTAAGTGTGTATGTATGTATCAGTGTGTATTTTTGTGAGTTTGCGGGAGTGTATCTGCGTGTGTGGCTCTGAGTATGTAAGAATGTGCCTCATGGTGTCCATGTGAATGTGAGTAAGAATGTAAGCCTGTGTAAATATTAAAAGTACATGAGTAGGTGAACATGCAGTGACTGTATAAGTGTGTGATTGTGCGCTTGGAAGAGCTCTGTGACTGTATAGGGCTGTGCACCTCTGCGTTAGAATGTGAGAGTCTGTATGTGTGCTACATGTGAACCAGGAAGTGGCTGCTGTATGGTTGGCTTCAAGGACATGCAATTTCTCTGGCATTCAGCCACACGGAGTGAAGGGCCTGGCCCCAGAAAGTGCTCAGAGTGATTGGCCATCGCTGTCATCAGCAGATCGGCTTGTGATTTGGACTTGTTTTTTTCTTAGAACTCCCCACTTGCACCCCACCCCATTTCCTGCAGGAAGGGCGATTGCAAGTTGGAGCTGAGACAGCCCTTGCCTTGCTTTCTGGCTGGTGCAAAGGGCACGACCTTGCACTTTGTTTGCAGAATCCGAACAGCCCTGGGAAATGTGATGGCCACATTCCCTTTCACACAGTTAAAAGCCATTCTATTTTAGAGATAGAGAGAGGAAATTAAGTCCTAGCATACAGAGTAAAGGCAAAAATAAAAATTTGCAATATGATCCTTCCTAATTCAGAGGTCAGAAGGGAATCCTCTCAATGATCCCAGTTCACCACACATGGGAGGACCACCTCCCATTTGTCGCTATTGCATCCTCATTGCAGGGCAACAGGAGATGCAGAAAGCTCAGAGGTGCTCAATAGCAGCTCAAGATCACAAAGAGCTCAGTCAATGGAGGAGCTAGGACTTACACCGAGTCTGCCAGTCTCTGAGACCAGCATTCCAGAAGCCACTGGGAATCTTATCTAATCCTCTACGGGCCCCTGCAGAGGATTAGATAAGACTCTGTGTACACAAGCACCCAGCAGAATTAAAATACCCTCAGCTGTCCTGAGCGTGAGGCAATTCACATCCTGCTGCCAAGTGCTGCCACCAAATCACTCTAAATTGGGCAATTAGCAGCGTGGTTTGTGAAATGAGGAACAGGATATGCTCTCACCCCTTGAACTTCTTCCCCACTGAACTCTGTAGTTTCAGATGAGCTTCAATTTTAAAAATGTGGTGGCAGAAAGAGACAGGCCCTTCAACAAGTTTTGGGCAATGGCGATTCTTGGGGTATCATTTCTACCTGAAAGATAGACACTTAGATGCCAACAGCATAAGGATGAGGTGAACTGTAAGCCGGAAAGAGCAGGCCAAGCGTGTGCCACAGAGGATTGGCATCCTCAACACATAGGAACATTTATGAGATGCTTGGTTAGGGGACACATGTGCAGAGTTTCTTAGGAGGTGATTCACAAAGAACAGACACAGATGATGGTAAAGCACAGGGGATGGTATTCAGTCTCTCACTCTCACTCTCTAACATCTATGGGAGGCCTTTGGCTCTGGCTGAGCTTCTGCACTAAGCCCCAACAGACCCAACTAGAAGGGAATCACTCATGCTGAAATCCCACACCACCAAACTGAAACTGTTTCTGTGACCTTCTGGGAAATCAGGACAGAAATGGCAGCCAGATCCCAGCATAGGCCAGACTTATCTAGCATGAAATGGAAGGCCCCTGTGTTTGTACCCATAAAGCATCTTTGAAATGACCAGATAGGCTGTTTATTCCCTGCTTCTACTTCCTTCAGCCCTTTTCTGCTTCTGAAGCCTATCTTTTCTGCTCAGTTCCTTGGACATTTGCTGTAAGGTGGACGCCATTCCTTTCACGAATAACTAATAAATACCAATTAGGTCTTCAAACAGATTCATTGAATTTCCGTAACTCTAGTAAACTTGAGGCAAACTAAAACACTAAGATGTTGGGTTTTTTTCCAGTATGGAAACAAAGATAATGCCCTGAACAGTAGAAAAATCAAAGAAGTGAATTGTTTTTATAATCGCATTGGGGCTTAAGCTAGAGCAATTTTTCTGAAAGGCCATCTGGCCATGTATAGAAGAGACTTTCATTAAGAAGTGGTTACATTTGACCCAGAAGTTATTTTAAGACTATCCTGAGGGAATTCATCAAGACTAAGGCAGATCTGCATATACAAAGATATTTATTGCGTTTTCACTTATAACATTGAACAATCTGGGAAAAACACCCTAAATGTCCAATGGGAAACTGCTGTCCTGAAAAGAGAATAAATACTTATAGGAAAGGATACAGTGGTGTTATCAGAACTTCCATGGTTTCAAATTCCTTGTCTCCAACCCAATGTCTTCCTACAAGGGCTGGCTGTCTCTCCACTTTCTGGGAGAGTGCCTCATCTGCCCATGATTTTGAAGGCTGGGAGAGGCAGCTGTGGCTGACACCTACAAAATCTTTCAAGGCACTATGGAGTCCAAGGCTAGGAAAAAGAGCAGGGAAAGTGGCCCAGAATGTTCCACTGGCATGCAATTCGAAGCCACATGTTTTCAAATATGAAGCTAGCTAAAGAATTCCATCATGTCCTTGCATATTTCACCCTTGTTTATGCCATCATCAACCTCACCCTGCCACTTTGAAGAAGGCTTGTAGCTCATATGTGGAATGGTATGAAGAGAAGCCAGAAGCCTTGAGTTTCTGATACTTATCAGCTGTGGAACCTTGGACCACTCAGAATGCTAGATCCTCTGAGATAATCCCTGACTTGAGGCCTGACCTACGCAGGTATTCAGCTATGTGGCTGACATTGTCAGTGGCTGGTTTTCTCCTCTGTAGTTTTTCCCAGCAGCCATGCAATGACTCCTGTGGGTATCCACAACTTTCAGCAGCAATAACGCTCCAGAAAACTTAGGGAGAGAGATTTGAAAAGCCCCAATATTGCCTGAAGAAAAGAAGGGAAAACATCGCTCAACCATTCTTACCACTTACTTCTCAACTATTCTTAGTAAGGCCAAGAAAGAAAGTCTTGATGACATAGCAGAGTAGTTAACCTGACAAATTGTTCTTCCCTTCTAACAAAGTGTGAAGGCCTTGCCCACAGACCAGGCAATTGAAACCTAACTTGTGGGTCTCCTTGCTTTGGAAATTCCTAAGCTCCTGCACACCATGCCACATAGAGGTAGGAGCTGCTGGTGCTTCTTGTGTTTCCCCTACTTGTACATGCAGCCAGCCCCAGAAGCTTTGAGGGCTGCCTGGTGACTATTCACACCCTTTCCCATTTCCTGAGAGCCGAAACATTGCTAGGAGGTCATGCCCTCCTTAAGGCTAAAGTCAATATTGGATGGCCTCATGCCTCATGCCTCAAAATGATTCCAACACTGTGATACAACTCCACCCCCAAAGCTCTTTGAAAGACCAGGTGGACGAGATTGCAGTGGAGACCACATCCTTGTTTAGCTCCTTGCCTGTGCCGCCATCTGATTCCCTGCATCTTCTCTGAAAGCTTTTGCAATAATATATATGCACAGGCTACAGAGGCCAGAGGATCTCCTCTAAGACACCTTCCTGAAAAATCCTGAAGGCTTTCTCTAAACATTGTGCAGCACCATGAACAGAAGCCCCTCGGCCATTCTTAGGATCTCTGTTCCCTGAGTATTGAAGCCAAGGTAGTGGGAGCAGGACAAGAAGAATTAAATGACCTCTAATTCAGTATTTCCTGGAGCATGTTCCCAAAGGACACTAATTCCAGCCAGATGGGAAAGCAAAAGATATTCTGCTGGCAAATAAAGTTTAAAAATTATGCTTCAAAAATTAGATAGGACTCTCCACTGCGTGGCTGACAATAACGTTTATTATTCCAATAGGTCCTCAGACACCAGTGTGGCATCTCAACCTCTGCACTGGTGGCATTGTGGACTTGACAATTCTTCATGGTAGTGGCTGTCATAGGTATTACAGGATTGCAGGACATCAGTGGCATCCTAGACCTCTACCCACTAAATACCAGTTGCACTTTCCTCCTATGATAGCCGAAAGTTGCCTCCAGACATTACCAAATGTCCCCTGGAACCAAAATTAATCAAGTTGAGACTCACTGCCCCAAAGGATGTTGTCCACTAGTCCTTTGGGGTTTTATGTAACATCCATTATTGTCCCTTGAAACTAGAATTATGTGGCGCAATTTGGAAAAGATTGATGGCAACCAATGTCCATTTTACCAGAGACCAAGGGGCCCAAGAAAGAAAGGATTAGGTCTACACACAAAATCAAGGTTATTAGTAGCAAATCTCAAAGTCCAATCCACTTCTGCTGCCCCATGTCCTCAGAGAAATGGGACTGTCCGAGGGCCCAGCAGAGTGGCACAGAACAGAGACGTGCCCTATGTAAAATGAGAATTGACTCAACGTGAGAAAGACCCCTATTCAGTCAAGCCTCTCCTGCTTCTGCAAGAATCCTATCCTTTTACTATGTTCCAGGAATGAGTGGGGAGTGTTTCATGGTTAGGGAGTGTCATGGTTTATGTTAGTGGCTCCAAGCCTCATGAATTATGGACTTGACCAAATCTAGCATTTGTGATTGGTTCATTGTCTAGCGCTCCTATTGGTGTGGTGTGCGTGCTACACCTGCCTAGAGGTGGAGCCAGCATACGATGTAATGGCAGAAAGAAGATGTGTCTGTCTCTCTCTCTTGCCAGTTTGCACCTTGTTGTTTGTAACGGCCATGAAGGGCAGCTCCGCCATGCCACCCTGCCATTTGGAGTAAGCTGAGTACACACTGAAACCTCCAAGAACTGTAAAAAATACACCCTTCCTTCCCTAACTTTGGGCATCAGGTATTTTGTCTCAGCAACGAGTAAAAAGTAACTAAGACAGGGAGGATTCATGGGCAGGGTGGTGGATTCAGAAAACAGTACTCCAAAGACTAGTACCTTGGCATCATGAGAGGTCTCTGAACTTCCCTCAAGACCAAGGTCACTCTGACATTCCCTATTCCTCTACTAGGTTATGGAGAAACTTTCTGCAAAGATCCTCATCCACTGGCTCAGATCCTTCAAAAGAGGGACACAATTGTGTTCAGTCTTCTGGCTGAAATGCTATTAACAGAGAAGATAAACTCAGCAAAGGAAGAAGTGCTGAAGTCTGTCCACACACCTGGAGAGGTTGTCACACATATTGTCCTCTATTTCAGTCCCACAGAGGAGCATTTATCATCCGTTGTCTGGTCTGTAGCCCAGCCTTGCACATTCATGTATATTCTCCACACCCATCAAGCTTCCCTAAAAATCATGTGCTGGTCCCCATTCTTTCCCTCCCCTGCAAAAAAAGATGTGTGTGCGTTTCTGAGACATGATAGGCTAGTGGGTGGTCACACTCTTATGTATGCTGCCAAACACATTACAGTACACACCTTTACACCTATTTAATCTTACTTTGTTAGTTTATTCTGGGAAATTATCAGAGGGCAGAGGAGAAATAACCCTTCACCTTACAAGACCTTCCTGAGGAATAGCTTCCTATAGTTACAGAGAAATTACAGTTAGGACAGAAGAGTGAGGCCCACAGGAAACAGGCAGGAATGAGGCTTCTTAGAGCCAACTGGAAGATCGACTCTTCCTTCTAGGCTCAGTTGCTCCTAATCTCCGCATGGGACATCACCACCATGCCAGGCAGTCAGCACACACCTGCAGTTCTGCACTGCAGCACAGAAAAGCATCCCACAAGTTTTCAATTACGAGGAAGCTTTGAGTCAAATCCCAGGAGCAGAAAACTCATTAATTTATTCAATCCAGCCTCTCTTGCTTTTTCCTAGATTTTGAAAATTGTATTGTGTTTCTGCCCATCCGCCCCACCCAGGACTGTTCTTTTCCAAAACAATAGGGTTTTCCTCAACTTACCTTGGAAATCAAGTCCCAGGAAAAGCAGCATCTAATTCATTTTGCATGCTAAATTATTACAATCGAAAGGCAAAATTTCTACTGTGCAGCTTTAAAAACATCTGTGTTTTTCTTTTGACTTTTGGGGATAATTATCCCAGCTCATATTGTGATTGCTAATTACCAAGCTAAACTAACCTGCTGAAGGGCTGGCAGAGAGAAGGTTTTTTCTGAAGCATTTTCCCCAGAGCATGAAATCATCTGAAAATGGAAACAGAAAACACCAGTCCAAGGCTTCTCTCCCACCTGCTCTTGGCTGGGCTCCTGCAGGGCTTGCAGGAACCTTGAGGTGTAGTTTCCAAATCTGGAGTCCCAGCTGAGGAAAGGGGTGCAGAGGGGGAGTTTGGAGTTTAGGGGACTTAATTTAACTAAAATGCTGGATGTAGATATTTTTCCATGAACAAATAAGGAATATTACTCAGAAGGTTTTTTGTTTTGTTTTGTTTTGTTTATTGTTGTTGTTTTTACCGAGACTAAACACAACTAGGATTCTAGAAACTAACGAACTCTATTTTATGTTGAAGCAAGAATCCAACATTAGGGGCTGGGGATTTAGCTCAGCGGCATAAGCGCCTGCCCTGCTTGCAAGCAGGCAGTCGTGAGTTCAATCCCCAGTACCGATAAAAAGAAAAAAGACAAAAAAAAAAAAAAGAATCCAACATTATTCACAAATAATAATCCAATTATATTCAATAAATAATCCAATTATTATGTTAAAATTTTTATTTAAAGCCAGACACAACAAGATTTACATGAATATGTAGTGAACCCTCTTAAACCAGAATTAAAAGTCTTTGCTAAAAGCATGGAACAGAACAAGAACATTCATCCCTTTTGTGAGGCCTCACCACACAGCAGGCACTGGGAACACAGTGGTGGCAAGACGGGTACAGCCTCTGCCCTCAAAGAGCTGAGGGTGGGCTACTTTCACGAGGTAAGCAGCAATTGGAGCCAAGCCTAGCACATACTGATGGGCACAGCAGGGCTCTGTGGAGCTGGCAGGGGCTTCCTGTTCTCCGACAGAGTCAGATGGGGCTGAGGATGACTCAGTTGGACTGCGAGGGGTGAATCAGAGTTAGCCCAGAAGGAGAAAAAGAGAAGAATGGAAAGATTACTACACACAGCAAGAAAAGCACATAGGGCCTGCCTGAGGTGATAGTCAGGGACAGCTTAGAGCCAAGCAGAGCCCAGACCATCCAGGCACTGGATGCTGTCCCATAGAGCAGTACTGGGATCTAGTAAAGGCTCTAGGCAGAAGTATGACCAGCTTGTGGTCCCACCAGACATCAATGTGTTCTCTTTAGTGAACTTAAATAGAGACCTCTAATTCAAGCACGGTGACTCCAGACTTCCCACTCGGCTATTTGAGAGCAAGAAAGGCTGAGCCCCTAGAATGGATATAAAAGTCAAATGCACAAACTGGAGATGGAGGGAGGGAAACTGGTCCCTGAAAGCCAGGGCTTCTGTGCACCTTTGGAGGATGCATTTCCTCAAGTCCGGAAGGGGCCACTCACACTGGAATCATGAGGACAGCAATCATGACAACATAAGCCATGATCAATTCCACAGCCTCAAGGGGCCATGTCCCTTTAGCAACGCCACATATGTGGCAGCAGAGAAATAAAATCCCAAGTGCTTCCAAGCATCCCATCTGCTCAGAGAGGAAAAGGGATCTATTGATCATGCAGCTCAGAAGTTCAACATCGGAGGAAACAGCAGTGGTAAAAGAAGAGGTAGTCGGATGTATTTAATGGGAAGCAGGTGGGCAGAGAGGAGGCAGCCTTACTCAGGGAGCTAGTGGAGAGCAAGGAGGCAGAGCCAGAGAAGGGGGGACTTTCTCCTGAAGAGAAATGCGCAAGTAGGAACCATGAGTACTCTGTGTTCTGTGGTGTTCACTTACTCTTGCACTTCCCCAAGAAACTTTACAAACATCCTCCTCCCTTTTTCTGGCATCTCACTGGTGTTCTTGTGTTATCCACAGACCTGTGTGTCGATGCAGGGCTCAAGAAAGCCCAGGTATTTTGAAATTACATGCCTACTTCTTACTCAGTCCACAAGATAAGCCTGTAAAATTAGCAGTTAAAGAATAAGCTGGTGGCCCAAAGAGCTCCTTCTGACCTGCTTGCTTGTTCCAATAGGCAAGGATGGCCATTGACACCAAAGGAACTGACAGTTGACAGTCTCTGGCATTCAAAGTTAAGGGCCTTTGACACTAAACAAGTTACCATGTGCCAATTCGTGGTTTCTTTATGAATTAAGCAAAATATCTTGGAAACCTTCTCTAGAGGGCCCCAAAGAAGCATCCTGTCCCACACTTGCCATTCCCATCCCTCCCCATCGGGAGCACAGTGGGCTGAGCCCTCACAAAGCATCTCAGCACAAACCACAGGAAAAGGCAGGAAGGGCAGGAGCCAAGGGTTTGTGAACAGCCGTGTAGAAGGCAATTCAACAGGGGAACTACTGCTAGAAGTCAGTGGAGAGGACTGGGAAGTGCTATGGGAAGTATTTACACACACATACACACACTCACACATACACACACTCACAGGCACACAAGTACATACACGCACAGTCACATAATCACATACATATGTACATTCATGGACACACACACATCAAACACACAAGCATGTATACATCCACACTTACTTGTACATACACATGTACACCCACACACAGGCTAGGGGCATATTCTCCCCTGGACACAGAGGGAGCCCCTTTGGGGCTCAAAAGCAGAAGTAACTCCAAGGTAGTCACCAGACACAGCTAGGCTAGCCCCTGCCTGGAAGGCCAGCCACAGGCCAGCAGTGCCTGTGGAATGTAGCACGCTAAGACCCATGCGGTCCTCTGACTGTGACCAGCAGCTGGCTGTTTCCTTCCCTCTTCTCCTATGATGTTTTAGTTTCCAAAGAACCAGTTACTCAAAGATTGCATGGTTGGGCAGAGTTGGTCAGCAGGTCAGCAGTGGGGACAAGTGTGAGTGTCCCTGTTCCTGTTCATGCACAGCCCTCAGAGATTCTTTGTACCTCCCTTGGGGTGGGCGGGGTACCCTAGGAGACCAGTGGCTCAGCGCCAGCCTGGTTTCCTCACTCAGCTCAGTCACTTATGCCCCAGTTTCTTCCCTTTTTAAACTTGGCCTCTGCATTTCACCAGCAGCCCCTTCCCTGGACACACATCTCCTTCACTTTCCTGTAGGATTTTTGTTACAGAGTAAAGCCTTCATGTCCATCTAAAACTTTGACAGCTGGAATAGATGTCTAGTCACAATTTTACTTCTGTATAGGAAAGAAAAAGACAGAGGTTGGATTTAACCCCCATCCATGTATGGGATGGGTTTGCAGATGCCCAGAGGAACAGCAAGGGATTAGATTCAAGCTCCTTTACTACAGAGTTCAGCCTTAGGGAGGCCAGACGTGTGCTTCAGCAGAAGCAAGAGTGATGCATTTTACAGCTAAGGAGGCTGAGTTTAGAGAGATCAAGCAGAGTCTCAGCAATACAGGCTAGAGAAGACCTGCTGGCTCGGAATTGCCCTGTGTGCTCACCTTTACCTGCCTGGCCCCCAGGGTAGTTCCTCTTCTGGGCAGAAGAGCTGGTCTTTTCACCTAGGATTCTTTCCTGCCTTGGACTTCCTGTCCTTGATTCTTGATGGGCAAAGGTGTACATTCGCATCAGCCCTGGTCAGCCACACACTTCCGGGATGAGATGAGAACCCTGGTGTGACACATAAAAATGACAGTGGCAGGCTGGGGATTTAGCTCAGTGGCATAAGCACCTGCCTGGCAAGCGCTAGGTCATGAGTTCCATTCTCGGTACCAAAAAAAAAAAAAAAAAAAAAAAAAAAAATGACAGTGACAACCATGACATCCAAGAAGAAAACAGTGAGTAGCCCAACTCTTCTAATTATTAAGAGCTGGAGTTCACAGAGTGACTCCAAGTTAAGAGTGCTTCAAACATTTGGGGTGCATGTGATCCTTACTAGCCTACTAGGGGGAGTTTTAGAAGTGAGGCCACCTCCATAGCCATAGCCAGGCACTCCGGTCCAAAAGAGAAAGCTAGGGAGAAGCCATCTGAACACGGCTAAGGCTCAGCCAAGGCATGGACCACCCCAGTTAACTCTTTGGGGCCAAAGTGTTTAATTTGCCCTCCAGCATTCTTGGGTAGTAGAAAGGAGGGTGGGACAACTGAGTCACCTCACATTCTGCAGTTGAGACCATTTTTGTCAAATGCTAAGGAAGCCACATTCTCTTCTCAACCCAAAGAAATTACAGGCCTTTCATGACATTACAGTTGTGAATGTTGTTTCTAAAAATAAACCTGGGCTTCCGTTTATAGCTCACATATTATATGTCTCAGTGGCGTCCCAGCTGCTTTGCATAAGAACCGTGAGGGAGAGCTTGCCCAGGTG